TATAAAGAATTTTGCTTTAATAACCCTGCGTTAAAATTGCTCTAAGTTATTCTAATAAAATTAAGATCCTATTAGAAAACATTTCCTAATGTTTTTTACACAGTTGTACTGATGTATCATAATTTCCAAGCAGAATTAAAAGCAAACAAATGCCTAAGAAGGTTTAGAAGTAGCAAATATAACATGATAATGGATTAAATCAATAATGACAATTTTTAATATATTGATTTATTTCAAATTGAAAACCAAATCAATTAAATACTTAATGAAAATTGAATAACAATTGAATAGAAACATAAATCCAAACATACAGAAATTAAAAAACAATAAAAAAAATAAAACAAATATGGTTAGAACACCCAATCAGTAAACAAATCTAAAGCCTAACTCCATAATATGAAACAACACCAAAAACAAACTAAAATAAATAAATAAATTGAAACCAATATATGAATAAATAAATAAAATTAAAAAATGAAATTAATAAAGTGAGTCTTATCTCTTACCTTTGTAAAAATCTAAACAAAAAAAGTGAATCTTAACTCTTACCTTCGTAAACAAGAATGAGTAGCAAGATCATAAGAATCAATGATAGATTTGTATTAAAAAAAATCAGAAACAAACAGAGTTATAATATGAACAAAGCCAGAAGAAAATAAGTTAAAATCAACATTAACTTTAAGTTTTACCCTGCAAACAAGAAGAAGTGATGTTCAAGAACTATGAAGAAGATAGATTATTAACATAAAAAGAAAAAAAGAAGCCAATATTTAAAATACATAATACAAAAGAAAAAAAAGATAAAGTAGAAAAACTCTAAAACATAAAATCTAAAATTGTGAGGAGATCGATGGTGATGATCGTGAAGGATGAGGTGAAAAATGAAGACGGATGAAGGTGGTTTGGTGAAGGTAAGAAGGGACGGCTCGACAACTTTTTAGAATTTGTGAAGTGAGTTTAGAGAGAACGTAGATTGAAAAAGAAAAAAAATGTATGTGTGAGAGTGGTTCTTGCTGTTATAAAAGTAAAATCCAAAATAAAAAATGTTTTGTATTAGTTAAGTAGGCGGGTTAGGCTACCTGCGGTTACATTTTTGAAACCCATACCCACCCATATTAACCCAAGTGAATCTGTCAATTGGATCCGTTAAACCAAGGCCCGTATAAAATCGCCCATTTGCTTATTTATTTTTTATAATTTCTTACCCCGCCCTTTGGAGTTCTTAGGCACCATGTGCGCTTCTAAAAATACCTCCTGCTTTCGGAAATGTATCTCTGGACGCACTTTTTTTTCACTTAACGTTGATTTTTTCCAGAGCTATATCTACGAAATGTTTCCGTTTATATAGCTCCGGAACAAATCAGAATACATTCGCGTCAGAGTCCATTCTCCTCCCTCATTCTTCATTTTTCAACTTCTTCACTCTCAAACTCTCCAAACTCTCTCAATCCTCAAAAAAACTTTTTCCACCAAACTTAATTGTTTTCAGTCAAGTTCGACAAAGAGCATTCATCACAACGATCAAGACACTCTGAATCATTCAAAGTTCGATATAATCGGTAAGTTTTCGAGTATTTTTCGTAAACGAGTTATAATATAGTTTTAGGGGTAGAAATCGTTAGATAGTTTTAGAAACATAGTTTAGAAACAATGTAGGTATTGTTTGTTGGCTAAAACAGATGATCAAAGCTTCAAAAAATCAATTTTCATGGGTAGGGGACGTCATTGTCGTGGCTCTTAGAGTTGCAGAAAGTTCCGGAGTTACATCTACGGAAAAATTAACGTTAGGGCAATTCTATAGATGTAGCTCCAGAACAAATCAAACTTTCTGAATTCTGGGTTCTTCCGTAGATACATATACGAAAGTTTTCCGTATGTTTACATCTGAAAGTGGAAAAATGTTAATTTTTTCCTTTTTTTAATTTATTTGTATCTAATTGTTTTTTTCTTGGTTATACCTTGTAGACATTATGGCATACAGAGAAGATAAATTGCGACTTGTACGAGTTTCACAGCATGCATCTGTGAGACGCGGGCGGAGGCAGGCCACTGTTACCGAGGCCGATACAGTCGAGGCACGTCTTTCTTTATTACATGCCCAGGATATTCCCTCGACCTTGTATCCCACCCCCATCATCCACTTCTTCATCTCGGAGGCGTCAGGATTCAGCTAAAGTTTCATCACAATCCCCATCCTCCCGTAGGCCTCGTCGGGATACTCCTGGTTCTCCTCATGCCGATGATCCGGTGCCACCTCCAGAGGGTGATGACTCACCACCGAAATATGCTGGTGACAACGACGATGATGAGCTTGAGGGTTTCCCAGGGAGTCCCTCAGACATGTCTCTATTGACAAGGTACGTTGAACATACTGGCAGACATGTCCGGGATGGAGAGGTAACATTACTCAGATTGTTTCTTTTTTTTTTATTGGAAATTTATAATTTATACCATTGTTTCTTATTTATGAAAGTTTTCAGACTCGTCAGTCGCAAAAGTTCTATAACCACAAGCAGAAGATATTATCTTTGGAACAACCACAAGAGGCTTGGTTCCAAGATGTCCTTGTCGCCTCTGATTTGAAGAATCTTTGTGAGATCGGTTACAACATGATCCACAACGGAATGTTGATGGGCTTTATAGAGAAATGACACCCTGAGATGTCATCCTTCCATCTACCGCACGACGAGCTCACGATCACACTGGATGACATCTCCTGTCTGCTACATATACCAATCAGGGGTACCCTCCTCCGTCACGGTAGGATGGTGAAGGAGAATGCGAGAGAGATGTTGGTCGAGAAGTTTGGGGGCTGATCCACTGGATGCACTTGCGGAGGTGGATAAGACCAGAGAGGCTAATGTGAGGTTCTCCTTTCTCACACGTAGATTTGGTGAGGCGCTCGATGCTGCACGCAAGGCAGATGGTGATTCAGCTGAGGTTGAGATATACAGGCAGCGTATGGTGAGATGTTATTTTATATTTTTAGTCGACACTCAGCTGTTTGTGGACACTTCCTCCACATATACAGATGTCGCTTACCTGAGGCACTTTTTAGATTTCACATGGATCCATGAGTACAACTGGGGGGCGGCTACCCTGGATTACACGTATTCGAGGCTGAGAGAAGGATGCTTGTGGAAGACCAAGACTGTGGCAGGGAGTGTGACACTACTTGTGGTAACAATCTTATATCCTTCAACTTTTTTTCATTTCTTTTCATTTTATATTCGTGATGATGCTTGATCCTGATGTTTTTTATTTTCATTTCAGGCTTGGATATCCAACATTTTCCCATGATCGTCGGGTGGGGGGTGTCTGATTACACAGAGCTGATACCGTGTGCCTACGCCTTTCTCTCGCTCGGGGGGAACCATGCGGTCGATGCTTACAGAGTCTATCTCGATCGTTCGACTGCTGAGGACATCCGGTACGACGTCTATGTTAATCACCGTGTAGCGCACCTGTTTGACGACATCTCCCTATTTTCAGGATGGTTGACATGCAGTTCGGTCATCACTGTTCCATATTTTCCCGAGCACGTCGTGCGGCAGTTCGACTACACTTAGACCATTCCCAGGCACCTAGCTATCTCTGTTCCTCCCGGCTTGACCCGCATGCAGATAAACGTGATCTATGCCGACTACTAGAGGCACATGGTACATGACGAGGCTCGATCGATCTGAACACTGACAGACTAAAGCTGTGTTGATGACTACATCTTGTGATTCTTCACTGTCTCATACCCCTACATGGTGCCCACTGCCGAAGGCTCACCATCTAAACCAGCTCATCAGGAGATCTTACCAGCTCATCAGGAGATCTTAGAAGGGAAACAGTCTCAGTTGGACCACACTCATGATGTCCTGCCTTGCCGTCGTCAAATAGTGGAGATGAGACGAGCATGCATTGCCACCTGTTTCTTCCTTGAGGGGTTTGACCACAAGCGTGTATTGGATGACTTGATTGCGGAGGTAGTAGGGGCACTTATGTACCGCAGGCATCGCAGCAGGACGAGTGAGATCGATGGCCGATGACGCAGACCGGACGGTCGAGGAGGCGGGAGAGACAGACAGGGCGACAAAGGCATAGGCAGAGGAAGAGATGCACATGTTGTCAGACACACACAATAGTGACTATGATGTTCTTTTGATGTACTATATTTTGATGACATTGATGAACTATTTTTTATGATGATTATCACATATTACTTCTTATATATATATATATATATATATATATATATATATATATATATATATATATATATATATATATATATATATATATATATATATATATATATATATATATATATATATATATATATATATATATATATATATATATATATATATATATATATATATATATATATATATATATATATATATATATATATATATATATATATATATATATATATATATATATATATCATATTATTTTATTTAATGATGTATATCATTTTATATTCATTTGCAACAATTAATTTTTATCTGCGACCAACAAAACATGATTTTTTTTAAAAACCTATTTCGATAAAATTTTAGAGATGTATCTCTGAAATTTTTTTCATAAATACATCTCTGAAAGCATCAAACATAAAAAAAGAATATGTTCGAATATATATCTCTAAAAACAAAAAGACATAAAAAAAAATTCCGTTAAATATCTAAAAATATTAAAAAGTAGATTAAAAAATTCACTTTATTTTTTCCAGTTTACACGTATTGAGCCGGACGACGGGGTGGTGTCCAGCCCTAGGAACAATAATGTAAATTGCAACAAACAAATGAATAATTTTCCTAAATGTCACGCTTTTTAAAAAGAACTAAAAAAATCATAATAATATTTAAATATTTTAAGATATGATAAAAGATTATTTAGCGTGTAAAAAAACAAACCCATTTTTATTTCTTGCGAAAAAGAGTGGTAGTGGAATCCCAATCCCCAACTTCAACAAGTAGATCCAGTGGGATAGTGAATCGAACCGAACAATGATTGGTTTACGAGCTTTATCCTTTATCGGAATCGCTTTTCTTCTTGCGTTAGAAGATAGAACCTCAACGCCCGTTTGCAATAATCCCGTTGTAGAAGCAGATACCTTAAAGGTCATGATGGTTGCTGACCTTCTTCTTTTAGGTTCGGAAGATGGTTACATTAACCGCTTCTTCAGAGACCATTACATGTCCAAATTCTTTCGGGTACTTTCTCTTTCTTAGGATCCACCACTACTAGGGTTATACAAGTGGTTATATGGTTTTGCATTGCATAGTGCTTAACTGCTTATAGAAAAATTTATGGTGGTTCATAAGCTTTTTTTCTGCTTATTTTCATAAACTTTAGGTATGGTTTATAGTTTTTACACCATACAACTTATACTGTATTTATATGTAGTGTGTGTTTAGATTGATTGTGGACCGAATTGATTCTGATAGAATTGATTTATATTTGAATATATTTATGTAAAAGTGATTTGAGCAACAAACTTCAATGTAAAAATCCCGTTTAAATTCTGAAGCTATAAATTCTAATTTCAAGTAGAATCAATTTTGGAGTCAGAATCAAATTCTACTTTAGAAAAACCAAATATTTTTAAATAACTCCAGAATCAATTCTACACTTCTAAAATTGTTTTTGACTCTTTCAAAAGGCAAACCAAACATGCTAGTAGTGTTATAAAGTATTTACTTGTGGTATCTGTTTGGTTCTGCAGGGACAAGAATTTGATTTTGAGTGAATTGATTTTGTATAATTGATTCTAGTTAAAAATGAGTTGCATGTAATGTAAAGTGATTTATGTTTGGATACATTTATATAAAAGTGAGTCGAACATTAAATTTCAGTGTAAAAATCACGTTTAAACTTTAAACTCAAAAACTACAAATTCTAATTTCAAGTTGAATCAATTCTTAAGGTAGAATCAATTATACTTTAGTATAACAAAACAATTCGAAATCATTCCAAAATCAATTCTACACTTCTAGATCTCTAGAATTGCTTTTGGCTCTTCCAAAAACTAAACCAAACATACACGTAGTTTTCCCCCACTGCCCATTCAATTGGATGTATAGGTCCGGTTTGGATAAACAACTTATTTGTAGCTTTTTCTGTTCAGAAATGAAGTAATATATATTTCTTCTTTAAACACTCTGGAAGTTGTAAAGAAAGAATCTCAAAGTAAGCTAATCCAAACACAATGCAGTAATCCGTTTATGTGACCTGTGTTGGATATCTCATGAATACAAAATTGTTCCAGGTTTTGTAATATTTTTGTACTGCGAATCATCATGCCAAGGATTAGAATTCTGGTTTACTTCATTGTTGAATTTGAACCATCCACATATGTGTTCCATTACTCCAATCCTTTTAATTTAATAATGCACCAACTGGCCAGAAATCTTTTGAACTTTTGAAGCCTGATTTGCTTATTGTCTTGGGGGATGTTTCTGCAAAAGGTTCGAAGTTAACGAAGACCAAATGGCTGTCGGTACTCCGTCAGTTTTACCAAATGGTGGGGCCCTTTGTTGATCTTCCATTCCACGCAACTCTCGGTGACAGGGATATTGGAGAATGCAGTGATCTTGATGTGAATAAAGTCAATTGGATTTCTCGCAAGTTACCGGGATTGGATCGTTCTGGCTGTGGTGCATTTGAGATTGGTAATGTCAGTTTTGTTTCTCTGAATGCCGTGGCCTTGCTTTGTGACAACAGTAGTTTACGTTTTGATGTTGAAAAGGTAATAGAGAGCGAAAGTCTAGAACTTCGTGAGGTAACAGAGGCAACAACAAAAACAAGAAACCATTCCACAGACTCTACAGATGCAAACTATAACTTTTTCTGGAGGGAAAGCACCCTGTTATCTGGATCAGGCCCTGTCCTATTGCTGCACTTACCTTTGGACCGAACCAGAAATGAGCGCTTTGGTGGCACTGAAGGTTTTGAAAGATCTTCTAGCTCTTTTATAGAGCGGTCAAATCTGGTGCCAAAAAACAGGTTAGTAGACATTCTTTCATACGAATCACATACTTTACGATTTTTAAATTCTTCTTGAAATTATCTGAATGATGTTCACGGTTCACTGTCTAATGTCCGTAGTATATATTATTGAAAATTCATGAACGGTTTAATTCATGGTTCTATGAGTAAACTCTCTAGTATGATTAAACTCTTCAGTGCATATTCTTACACAAACATTCATACAAATGGTAAGGAAAAACATAATTTCCATGTCGTCCGAGTCCATGTGCTGTGAGGCTCTTTTATTCCCTTAAAAAAACTATACATTTAGTGTCTGGTTATATTTTTGTTAAATTGGTAATTTTATTTTATTTTACCTTATAGCTATACATTCTCGCAGTATTCACGCGAATAGAGTTTCTATTCCATATATTTATATGGTAAAGTTTTTCATATTAGGGAACTCGTTGGGACTGGCCTGTACAATTTACTTCATACTCTCCCACTGAATGCTTCTGAGTATATTTTACAAGCTCTGAGACCAAGGTAATCAAGTGCTTATTTGATTGTGAATTTATATAACAAATACTTGTTTATTTGTAGAATGTAAACTTAACTAATCTTACCTGTAAATCATGTGATATTATCTTCATAATATTGTATTTCAAATACCACATAAATATTTGAACATTCGCATATATGTTATCTAAAATTGAATATTTTTTGGTTACTTTTGAAAATTACTTCTGGTTATTATTTTGTTGTGTGCATGATTGCTAGCTGATTCAGTTTGCAGTTTCATATTCAATGTTTAAATTGATGAATGACCATGTGTGGCTTAACTTTCTGTCTAAGTTTTGGTCTATTGAGGCAATGCTCAAACGATGATTCCTTCTAGAAGTTGTAAATCATTTGACATGCTTTTCATTGTCTACAGGATTATCTTTAGTGCTCACAGGTATATGTTTTCCGACCACGTCCATTTTGATAAAACTCGGGAGATTATTGTTCCGGCAATGTCTTGGAATGCAAGAGATGACCCTGGATTTGTAATTGCTACTTTCCAAAAAACAGGGAGAGATGTGAATATAAGCTATTGTTCTTTGGCCAGAGAATCTCATATTCTTGTAGTATATGTCTCTATAGTAGTTTTGTTTTGTTTGGCATGTTTAAAAGGATAGTGTGGATGATTTCAAACAACTCCCCAAAAAAACACCAAAAGAAAGAGGATGGTATTTAAGTAGAGAATGCTTAGTCTCTACCAATTTTGAAGTCCGATAGAAGTTTTGTTGCTAAATTGAGTTTAGCTCAAGAATGGTGTGTTTATAACTTGGATTGGCCCATTGGTGAAATCGGCTCAAGTTATTTGAGTCGGTTTTGGATTGTATCTCATAAGAAATGTATCTGTCAAATGAATTAATACTTACAAACAAATTTTCAAAATCTAAATTAATGGACAAAGGATTTGATTTTATCAAAGGTTTTCAACTTCTTAGATTGCTTTGAAATATAGATTCACGAACCCATAGAGGCTAAAGTGGTGAATCTTTTGCCTAATCTTCTTCCTCTACACACCGTGTACTATTGTTAGCTAAAGTGAAATAAAAGTGATGCGTATTTTAAATACAAATTTAACAATGTATGTAAATTATGATTTGAAAATAGATTCACTAGTAACTAGTATATGATAAAGATTTGATTGAATTGGATGCATGCATAAAATAATTTCACACTACGATTGTATATCAATTAATTTTATTAGCTATTTGTTTCATGTATAAACCGTTCATAGAGAGAGCTATATCAATTAATTTAGTTTTATTTATAAATCCCATAGAGAGAGATATAAAACTCTATCGTTCAATTTGAGAGGTAAAATTATAACGTGAATGAGAAGAATACTTTAGTGTAACTCAGAGTCGTTTAGGAGACAATTAGAACTATTATCAGTTTATTTGCGTGGAATGTGTATGACCGTTAGATGCACATCAACGATGTTGATGAACACGAGAGGCACCCTCTTATGTGATGCTTCATACTAGATGTCCACATGTACATTTTTTTATTGGAGAGCTTTGTTTTAATTTAATCGTTGTATTTGATTGGTCATTCGGTTGGACCTTTGGTCAGCCCGAAACAATTGTCTCTAAGTCTTTGCTATTAGGGATGAAGTGGGGAATGTTCAAGCAAAAGTATTGAGATCGGCCCAAGTGTATGTTCCATTGATGAAGTTGGTCCATTGAAAAGGTGCCTCCAGGAAGAGAGAGGTCTTCGATGTGGTTTTAAGTGGGAGTATGTGGCATTAACAACATGCACATTTAATGTCCATCATGTAATTTAAATATTAGTTAGGGTGGGAAGGTCTCCACATCCGCTTATGCGCCTAAGGTAGACGACTAACGCACATATATCCACTTGAATGCACTTGAGTGCCATTGTAGAATTCAGCCCCCGTCTTAACCATTGGATGTGTTTTTTTATTCTGTTGAATCATGGTTGTTGATCTTTGCGCTCTACAATGCTTATAAATTGAGGATTTTAGATTGGGTCTTTACAAGATCTCAAAAGGGGCAATACATTTTCCTTTCCTAATAACTATGGGGATATACATATACAAAAGTTTTGAAGGCTAAACAATTTCCTAATGACTACAGGGACATACATATACCAAAGTATTGATTTGTATGATGAGGAGACATTTTTTTAAGAAGGTCTTATCAAAATCTAGAATGATCTTGGAAGCGTTGAAGAAGTGGATCATGAAGGTGATAATCCTCCGTAGAAGAAAAAAACGCTATATTCAAACATATTTGATGGTCGAAGCTGGCACTAACGAGGAAAGGAAAAACATTTATGGAGAGGATGGGTCCCTTTGTGAAGTTTGTTACTTAACATATTTTTTCCTCAAGTTTTTTTTTCTTGTAATTGACATGTGTTGTTTCCTTTAGCACATATTATAAATTTTATCGGCACAATCTATTTGTTGAATGACAAATAAGATGCTATTAAAAAGTAACAAATACTTTGAAAAAAGAGAAGAAGACCCTTGAGGAAACCACATGCTTGTTGAGGATGGAGAAAGTTGAGAATGTGTCTCTAAATAACCAACACTCAATTGTTATGGCTGTTAGTCATGTTTATCTACAAGCTTCGTTTGAGAATTCCTTGGCTCAGGTAAAGTTTCTCCACCCCGGACTTAAGATATTCAGGGAGAAGAATCACACTTAGTATAGGATTATGAACAGGAAGCTAGTTCCCCTCTACAACATGCCATCTTCTTAGATTTCTTTTCTTTTGTCTTTGCCTTTTTGAAATTGCATGAGCCCAGTGCAGCGCATGCATTTTCGAGGATTATGGTGTATTATTTTGTGCATTACCTTCATGTGTGATGTTTGATGTTATAAATTGTACACCACCTTCACGTTTAAGGTTTATGAAGATTTTGACTTTTCCGTTTGATATAACACTTCTTTCACGTTTGAGGATTAATGTCACCATGGAAAGTTTAAGATTTTCCCTGTCATTGACACAATAGTAAGGCAAAATGTGAAAATATCATTTATTAAACGTGTTAGGTGTGAATATAGAAGTAAAAAAAATTCTCAATAAAGGGTGAATAGATTTAAAAAATGAGTTGCGAGCAGAAGGTTTGATGTCAAAATGAAAATTATACAATTCGAATATTGATCAAGTCAACACATGTTTGATGTCAAAATGAAAATTATACAATTCGAATATCGATCAAGTCAACACAAAATTATACAATTCGAATATCGATCAAGTCAACACAAATTGTTTCACAAGTCAACTGTGTAATGCACTAGAAGTTTTTACACAGTAATAATTCAATTGATGGAGTTCTAAATTCAATTCACTTTAGATTATTAATCACAAGACTAGCTTAACCTAGATTAACCTGTTATCCAATTCCAACAAAACCTAATGCTTACTTACTAATAAAAAGCTATTATTTAGAGCTATTATTTAGAACAAACGATATAATTTGAAATTAAAAAACCTAAGCATGCAATCCCTATGAATTTAAATAGGAGAGAGAAAGAGGGACATCAAAATTTATAGTGCTTCGACGTTCCTCCTCACATTACAAAAATCTGTTATTTGATTCTTGACTTGTATACAACTGAAGGGAAATTGCTATAAAAAAAACAGCGGAAATTAAAATTAATAAATATGTTATTTGATTCTTGACTTGTATACAACTGAAGGGAAATTGCGATAAAAAAACAGCGGAAATTAAAATTTTTCCTGTAGCGATCCTTACGAATGAGCATGATCAGTGATAGAAATGGTTACTTCTTGTGGTGATTACCAATTTTGATGCAGATCCGGATCAATGATCATGAGCGTTGAATGAAGAACAACGCCTTTACTCAATCTACACGAACTGAGTGTCTTCAATCTCAGTGATAGCTACTACGAATGAAAACTTTGAGTGAGAGAGAGAGAAAAAGAGAAAAACGGTCAGGGTTTCACCAATTGCATTTCACCAAGTTCTAAAACTTCTACACAAAAGTTGTATTTATAGAATCACTTGTGTAAGCTGCAAGCTAAAAAAACCCAACTTAAGTGCACCATATTATAACAATAATAATAATAATAATAATAATAATAATAATAATAATAATAATAATAATAATAATAATAATAATAATAATAAACATATATAATAAACATATATGCTTTGTGGTGTGGCCTATTATAATAAACATATATAATAACCATTAATATAATAAACATATAATAACCATCTATAACTATATAGAAAGGGGATACAAGTTTTTGGCGTAACCTATTTTTTTTCCCAAAATTGTCCTTTATCATTTTTATAAATAACTTGAGTAGTTGGTAACTTTTATTGGTTACCAATTGAATAGTTAACTTCTATCTCTCAAAAAAAACTTACATCTATAGCTTGGAAATTTTACCTCATACCCCTACAATTATACCCATACCCCTACACTAAAATTTTTTGGACCAAAATATCCTCGTATAAAAAGTTATAATTTTTTGGTTTGTATACCGGAAGACTTTTTGGAAGTCTTCCGGTTCACATTTTTTTGGTTTGTTTACCGGAAGACTTTTTGGAAGTCTTCCGGTTCATGTTTTTTTTTTAATTTTTAATTTTTTTTAATATTCAAATTACAAATATATTTATTCTATTTACTCTATTTTAGTTAATTAATATATTTATTCTATTTACTCTATTTATTCTATTTATTTATTTAATAATAATTATTCCACTAATTTGATTTTTTATTAATTTACTATATTTATTTACTTAATAATAATTACTCCACTAATTTGGTATTGTTTTTTTTAATCAATAAAAATTAAAATTGTTAACTAATTTATATATTGATTGTGTTCTTTAAAGAAGAAAATTAACAATTTAATAATATGTTTATATGAAAAATAAAAATAAATATCATATTTAAATTATAATCCTATCATTTCTTCTATCAAAAAATTTCACCAAAAAATTATAATATATAACATATATAATTATTTAAACAATATTTTATGGGGTAAAATATTAACTTTTAAAAATATATTTTATGGGATAAAATATACTTTTAAAAATTTTCACCATAAAATATTAACTTTTAAAATTTGTAGGGGTAAAATATGTTATGGGGTAAAATATTAACATTTAAAATATTAAAAACTAATTAAATCATAAATATTTAGCAGAAGAGTGATGAAAACATGCTTTAGCAGAAGAGTGTAGTGAAATCATCCAAAGGAAGCTTCCACCCAAAATCATTAATCAGGTAGATTCACTATTCCTTATGTTATTGGTTCACTAAATATTAGCATTTCTCTGTGTGATTTAGGAGCTAGCATCAATCTGATGTCATTGTCCATGATGAGGAAGTTAAAATATGGTGAGTAGAAACCTACTCAAATGATTCTAACACTGGCGGATAGATCAATCACATGCCCATATGGAATTCTTGAAGATGTCTCGGTAAGAGTAGATGTTCTATCATTTTCAGACGACTTTGTGATTCTAGATATGCCTGAGAATTTTGAGACACCACAATTACTCGGAAGGAAATGTTTATGATTTAATTAGTTTTTAATATTTTAAAAGTTAATATTTTATCCCATAAAATATTTTACCCCTACAAATTTTAAAAGTTAATATTTTATGGTGAAA